GCTGACTGCATTCTGTCTGTGCATTGTTGACAGATTTTGCGCCACTTTATTCTCAAATGACCATAATCAAAACTATTCGAGTTTAAAAAAAACGCTGTTTTAGTGGCTTGTAAGATAAACAGTCTCATTGCAACCACTTTTCTTGCTAAAATTGCTTTAACTTAAAATATGCAGATAACAATAAGATTCATACATTTCAGAAAAATACTACAAAAATAATATCGTAACAATTTCAAAGAAAAATTATCAATCAAGGTAATGCTGAGAATGAAGGCACTGAATCCAAGAAATTCCATTCTACTGAATAATGTGACGACGTTGGACATCTTACTATATGTCGATATGTGTGTAAATACTACTGGAAGACGTGCATTGTAGTAGGTAGAATGATATGGTTCAGTTTGTACACAGTTAAATATGCATGTATACTTTTTATATGAATAGAATTTACACTGATCCAAACACCGGGTTAGTTCCAAAACGTAAGGCGATTATTTTTTTTTTTCACTGTGGCATTTATAGATAAAATAGATTGTAAAACCCTAATGTAGAATAAGTTTAAAACACCTGAAATGAGTATACCAAAACCCAATTTGAGTAAATCGTGACAATTAAAAAAACGCACACGCACCAATGTGATGCATTGCTACAGAAGTATCGAACACAAGATATATATATATATAATGAATTAGGTAGAATTAAAAGCCATATATACCAATGTCCACAATATGTCATTCCTATGAGTCGCGCCCTCTAGTGACAGCGTGCACGGAAGCAGTGTTTGGTTGCAAAGCCGTTCGTCATTTGGAATATAGTGCAATCGTTTAAAGGGTGGTGGCCGTCGCGTACCGTTCCATACGAGATACATAGCGACGTGTACAGTGCGTGTAAATACATTTGTTTACACGAAATTCGAACACGCGTTGTGCGACGACCACCGCCCTGTATAACATAACCTTATTAGATCCCACTATCATTCATTTACAGCATATAGGTATTTTTTTTTCTCACTAGAGCGTACAACTCATAGATTCATTAAATGCTAGCGGAGCCTTTAATAAGGTAGACGCCTACTCATAAATAAAAATACGCAGAATTTATTCATTTTGCAATAACTTCCGGGCAATATATGGATATTGACTTAAAATAGTTGAGGTCACCGGCTTAATTTTTGAGAAATTGATTTAGTTGCCATTTGGTATTATTAGAAAGCTCTTACCAACGGCTTCTATTGCAGATATTATGCTGTATCTCAAATTGTAGGCTGTTGACAAACATATAGGCTGAAAAAATCATATATTGCTAAGTACGGGGTACATTTTTGTTGATATTAACATTTTGTTGTTATTTTTAAAATCTGGGTTTAAAAAAGCGTCCAAAAATGCAATTTTTGTGTTCTGTTGAATTATTCTAAGATAGCAATTTTTGAAAAATATTGGGACAGGTTTCTCAAAAACCTTGTAACTGCAACACACAAAATAATGGTATTTTATTGACCTATGGGACAATAGCTCCATGATTGTACATACTAACACAATCAAGAACATTGTCATGCGATTCATGGTCAATTTTCTCAAACATTATGAGTAGGCTTCTACCTATCAAGGTTGCTCTATACAGTTTCCCGAATGTCGGAGGTTCAAAGTTCGCAGGCGTTTTCTCATGAGAAAACATTCTATCGCCCATGTGATAGCATATGGCAAACTACTTAAACTGTCCTATATTTAGAAATAATTACGTACCCCCATTTTTTTTCAAAATGTAGTTCCCATCACATATTGTAAAAAAAACTCAAAGATTTATTCTATTTGAACTTGAGGTATAAGCAGAATTGTGCAAAAAATAATATTAACTATTTTCATCAAACAAAATGGCTGTTTAAATCTTCGTGAAGTAATATACTGTATCTGTACCAAATCTGAATAAACATGGTAATTGTATTCTCAAATTATAAGCAAAAAATCGCTGCCAAAAGGTATTACCCATATCCTAAGTTTGAACAGAATGGGCCAGCATAACTTGGAGAACAGAAAAACCATGTATCAATCATGTACCAATCAAGTTCAGAGGGAAACTTGGACTTCTGACATAATGCGACGGGGGACGGAACCAGATAATTGAAAGACTTTCGTGAAACTGTATTGAGCCACCTTATAACTGATAAAAGCATGTGACTACAAATACAATGGATGTATATACTATAAATGCCGCGTGTTTTCCCGGAAAACATTGTACAAATTAAAGAAAAAATCATTTTGATTATATTCGATATAAATTGCACTCTGAGCTCATTTATAAAGCCTTATTGGGGTTTTGAAACTAATATGTGAAATACGAAGTTATAAATTGCGTACCAGTCCCAATACCCTGATAAAGCTCATCTTAGAGTGCAACTTTAACCTAGCATACATAGCACAGTATATCATATATATAGATGCACTGTATAGATTAGTGATTATTCAGCTGATTCCAATTTAGCTATTGGATTAGCCAAACGTTTCTTGATTTCCGGAGACATTTTGACCACAGCCGCAGACTCCATTAACGCAGCAGACGTGTGTGGAACAATCTGCGTCGATTCTCTCTGTGAAAATAGGCAAACAGATAGAATGCTAAAGTGACGTCATAAGCTAATAATACACCCATTATTTCTGTATCATATAGTGGAAGAATTTAAAAACAGTCATTATTCGGGTGAGAATTAGACTTTTTGAATAGTTGTTTTGACTATGATCCATGATCTCTGAGAATGTTTGGAGTATTGGTGAAAACACGATTAACTTTGTTTGCAATGTGTGTGTGTGTCTGTTCGTTCAATATCAAGCACACCATTGCTTGAAGCGACACAGTCGTCGGGACATGTCGTCTTCCGATAAGGATCACATACATATACATACCTTGCTTTTCATAAAGCAGAGAAAATTGGCCCATATGTAAGTCAATATACTGACGTAGACTACTCTGTGCTTGGGTGCGACGTACTTAAAGTTTATTATCTAAAAGGAAGCAACACATAAAGTACATGTTATGCATACATTGCATATTCCATATTGCACTGTCTTGGGGTGTCTCGTGACAATGATATTGCGTTTGGTTACATCATCGGTATGTTCCATCAAAACTTGCGCCCTCGAAGTTGGTTCACGATGTGTGACGTCACATCAAATTAAATAAAACAAGTCATTGTCAATGACATAGTCCACGTCATGTTTTAGTGAATTTGCCAAACAATGCAAAGCATAATCAGATTATGTTTAAATATTGGGATAGTATTTAGTATATTAACACAATGCTGAATGAAAAACCGAATGATTTGATTTTCAGAAAGAATAGGACAGAATGAAATACAATAGAATAGAACTTACTAAAGTAATTGCAGACATCCATCAAAAATGCAAATAAAAATTAAACTAAAACTGTTAAACTGATCAAACAAAACCTTCCAGTGAAAATGGGATTGTGGGACGTAATGAGTACAACAGGAATTTGATGCAAGCTAACCCCCCCCCCCCCCTTCGCTGTATGCCACTCTACCGACTCCGTGTGTTGACATCGGTATGCGCACATTCAAAACTACAATATTAGAATGGGTTAAACAAAATGGCTGGATGTCGATTTGCCAAAGAGCGCACATTTTAATTCATACTCGTTGAACACTTTGCCAAGGTAATGGTAGTGTCGAGCGATGGCCTTGGCTGCCGAAGATGAGCATTTTCATGCAACGTGGTACTAAACGCAGTATAGTTGATCAGATCATTTTCTCACTTCCCGTTTAAATTAATTGTCGCAGCATATCTGACAGATGTAACATCCAGGCATCAGTGTACGACTTGTGTACGTCGTCATAATTTAATCACACCATCGTAAAGACTGTACATGATAGACAATTTAGCTTTCAAATTTGTTTTTCTGAACGTATAAAAAATCTGTCCATCGTCAATTATCGAAAACATTAATTTATACTCATATTTAATATTATCGTGTGAACAACTGGTTTTGCAGAATAAGTTTTAATAGACAAACTACCTCTGTCCTATCATAGGCTGAAACCCAAATTACATCCTCTTCAAATCTTAGTTAAGGTCAGAGATGTCAAGTTTATATATATCTGCCGAAATAAATTGGTTGAGCTTTTTTTGCACGTCATAATAGAATTACGTAAGCAAAGAGTGTAACATTTATCATTACAATAGTGTGGCGGACACAGTGTGGTTATTTCAATAATTATAAAACTCTTAAATAATATAACCTGAGTTGAAAAAAAAAATTATCATTACCTGAACCGGAGGCCAGAACAGTAAACAAGCTCCCCAGCTTGGTAGTGTTTTAACCTTCGCTTCAGCAAAAATATCTTTCTTTCCTTCAAGAACGTCTAGCACTGTTAATATAAAGGGGAGAATAATGCAATACAACTGGTACACAGCACATGACATGGCGGGATGAGACGTTTTCTTTTAATAATTATCAGGTGGTATGCAGACATGTGAAATGAATGCAGATGCGTTTGTTTCAAAGGCACGTCTGACACCTGGGATTTGAACACGCTATATCAGTATAATCACATTACATGTACCAGCCTCGTGACCAGCCAATCATTTCGTTGTTAGAACCACTCCGTGACCAATATTACCACGGAATAATGTATGCTAGTTACGAGGCCGGAAATATACATATTTCATTGTGTCCGTCATGTCAATATAAAGTCGTGTGATGTATTACCTATATAAAAACCACCAACACTGACTGGTCCAGCTATGGTCTGATCTAGCACCAATTTCTTCATTATCACACGCGTTGTGGTTCCCTTCCATGCATTGTCCAACGCGCGATAAAAGTAATGACAGAGTGGCCCATAGAACAACAGCCCCGTCAATGCAACACGACCAATGTGTCCATAGTCATACTTGTCATCTCCGCGTAGCGTCTGTTGAGTGAATTCGGATGCCCCGTAGATTGTGCCGGCAAAAACAGCATTTCTTATCAGAGGGCTGCGTATGAACACATTCATAACAAGCGATTCAACTGTGTCCGTTTAATTCTACGTCACACGATGACAGCGCCTCCCCATTTCACGATTGCGAAGAAAACCAGTCAGTGCGTACCTACGGGTAGAAAATATATAATTATCATATTTATATTTATTTATTTATTGAGACAACACTGATTTTGATAAGCAAAGCAGTAAAGTCACTAGAAACTACAAAACAAGAAGAAATGAATAACAATGAAAGATGAGAAGTGGACATAGGTACAAAATGTACAATGTGATTTCTCTAATTCTCTAATACTTACGGGCGCTGAAGCAAGGTGAACAAATACATTGTCTTGTTTATGAAAATGTGGGCAATGTTGAAATTGAAGTGTAAAACGTTTTATGAGGGGATAAAACAGACAGAATCTATTGTAACACTATTCCACTAAATGTCATTCTTAGATTATTCAATTTATTATTTGCCTTATGTAATTATCATTGTATAAAATTTCCCAAATAAACGATGGTAAAATCTTCATTAATATTAGACTTCTGGAAACCCTCCTACACCAAAGCTAGACAAGTGCCTCACGACACCTATGTTGATCATTTACGTTTAAGTACACGTTTTAAATGTATGTCATTTAGCTCATAGCACTGTTCACTTGGCACTAACACATTCACAGCATGTAGTCAGTCGGGTTAGTTTATTCAGTTGTAGGCACGTCCAAGTACATGTACTTCAAAACTCAGAACACGGTCGTGGTGAGCGCCCTCACTGACAGATTCTCACGGTGTGAGTTTCACCATATTGATAAAGAATCACGTACATGTTGCTTTCCCACGATGAACAGCAAGCACTAGAGTCACTACGTCACCCGTCAATTGCTTGCAGCTATTGGTGGATAACATATAACATGCATCTAGTTGATGTGTAAGCAACTGTAATTGGGGTGCGGGAGTTGGTGTGACGATCATGATCGCCTCTGCACAAAATGCTCTGTATTTGTAGTACAAACCTGAAGGTCTGGGGGCTACAGAAAGCGAGACGTCACATAAACAAGAATCAGAACAAGAAAATTCTTGTCCAATGTGACGACTCTACTGTGCTAAGCCAGCTGGTGGAGTAGACGGTGCTCTAATGTGACGAGAAGAGAAGAGTCAGAAGCCCATCACTTTGCTGGGGTCAGAAACTGTATAGTCAACGTCATAGATGTTTAAGCATCCCCACCAATTCTAATGATTCATCTTGTACTAGGGAAAGTACTGGCAACACCGAATTTCAACTATGGCAGTGATTATTTCGAATTGGCCAACAAACCATGATTTACACTACTCCTGTCAGTCCCCATAGCAAAGCCAGTACGCTTATCGAACGACCCGTCTCTACTGATGCAAGATCACGGAGAACACTCTCCAGTCTGATTCTGTTTCAATTACATACATAGAGGCTTTCTCTAACACATGTTTAGCCGAGTGTCTGACACTATAACTGCATTCCAGCATGACACCATGCTCTGCTTTTATGAATAAAGAGTGCGGCGCATTCGTGAGCAGTTTGATGATCGACAGACTGGTCCTTTGAAGCCATGTGTCCCTCAAGTAGATATTTTTCAATTATTTGTTTCATATAAAAGACCTTTCACCTACAACAACTAGAGGATTCCATGCATGCGCCCGTATAGACCTAGAGACCATTCCACAGATAGCATCGTTCAAATTTAATTCGAAACAGCAACTAAGTGGCCTTCTAAAGGGCCCATAGGTTGCGCATCAGCCTCTTTATGAACCGTTAAAAACAACCATGTTCGAACATTTGACCTAGTGAGATAGCAGCCTGGCCGCCATGCTCTGTGGAGAAGCCCTGTTGGTTGTCAAAAATAGGGAGGCCGCGGCCCCCATCTAAATCCGCCAATGGATTTTTTGGCAGACTCAGACGTCTTCACTAGCCATTATATGAAGCTAGGAGTTTATAGTTGGCTAGCAAATCTGCAAACTTAAGTCTCGTGCAAGAAAGAATACAGAGAAAGTAAAAAGCTAGGTTTTGGTGAGTAAGCAGTTGGCAGAGAATCTTCAGTCTCAGTCTCAGTTCAAAGTTAAGTGAAGCCCTTTTATCCTCAGATTTAATACGATTTGATACGTTTTAGTTAAGTGTCAAACCTCATACTTGGGATGTCAAACCTCATACTTGTGATTTCCATTGAAAGAGCGCGTTGGATTGTGGGTAAATCAATCTTTATCAACACAAATGTCGCACATGCGCAGCGAGACGACTGCATCCCTTTAAGTTATCATACAATTTACAGCACCGGAACTAACCTCTTGTAGTTCCTTGCTGCAAGCAATGCCCGTGTGCTCAAAAGTATTTTCAGGAAGGCCGCTTATGCAGGTGACTATATATGAGTTCATTACAGTATCATTATTTTCATACAAGCAGCCAATCGGCTGAGATAGCTCCGATGTTAGCAATGCACATTTCAATTAAAGAACTGAAGACATCATTAGAAAATGAACAATATGTATAGTATCAAAGCAATCGGACTTACAGTTTTTAACAAAAAGTCGAAAATATCACTTTCTACCAAAAATGACAAAAATATTCACTAAAATTAGAGAATTGAAGATATCATCACGAAATGAACAAATCTGAGAAAGGTCCACATGTAGTACCTATATATGTAATATCAAAGCAATTGCACTTGCGGTTTTTAACAAGAAGTCGAAAATATCACTTTTTACCAAAAATGACAAAAATATTCACCAAAATTAGAGAATTAAAGATATCATTACAAAATGAACAAATCTGAGAAAGGTCCACATGTAGTACCTATATATGTAATATCAAAGCAATTGCACTTGCGGTTTTTAACAAGAAGTCGAAAATATCACTTTTTACCAAAAATGACAAAAATATTCACCAAAATTAGAGAATTGAAGATATCAACATGAAATGAACAAACCTAAAAGAGGTCTACCCAAGGTAAAATTAGAGAATTGAAGATATCATCACAAAATGAACAAATCTGAGAGAGGTCCACATGTAGTACCTATATATGTAATATCAAAGCAATCGGACTTGCGGTTTTTAACTAGAAGTCGAAAATATCACTTTTTACCAAAAATGACAAAAATATTTACCAAAATTAGAGAATTGAAGATATCATCACGAAATGAACAAACCTAAGAGAGGTCTACCCAAGGTACATATACACCAAGTATCAAAGCATTCAGGCTTGTAGTTTTCAAGAAGAAGTCAAAAAAGTAAAACATTGACACGGACGACGACGGACAATCACTCATATGATAAGCTCCGCTCGACAAAGTCGACAGCAGAGCTAAACAAAGTGCTATATTTTGCATGGTAGTAAGTATTTAGAGCCCTGATAAATAAATCTAACCAAAGAACAACAAACAAAGACATCTTTTGAATACAAACAAAAAACAAGTTCAATAAACTGTTTTGAAATCACGATAAGAATCGGGAAACTGGGTGGGGCACACACCTCGGAACTATGTTAGTAGACACTAACTACTCTGCCGTGAAAATATTTCTCCCAAGACGCGTATAAAGCCTGATATCCCGACTGGTACCGCGATCTCTTTTAAAATCAAAACATGCTATGTACGATGCGCACGCGTCTTTCTTTATGTGTGTGCATGACTTTTTAGTTTCGATTCATTTGCTATAATACTTCTTCTCTATTGCATTCATTGCTCATTAACATTTTTTTACTTCATTTATTGTCTTCTTTTCTTTTTGTTTTAACTAGTGTGATTATTATTATTATTTTCTGACAGTTTTCTGTGTTTTTTTTGTATATCTCTGTATGACAAAAAATTTGCCCCCCCCCCAAAAAAAATGGCTCCATCATGATATGGACGTCGGCGAAAACGTCAACAGAGATTGAGACACACATACCTACACACGTTGCCCCACTTCATTTCCCTTATATATAGTTTAAGATGAATTCATTCAGTGGTTTTTTTTTCAAAGCTGACAAATAAGGCGTAAACAAATAATCTGAACGACAGTTATACAACTCCAAGCCTTGTGTGTTCGGACTCCCAAATTGTCTGGTCACTACAATTTGTTCATAGCATACGCCAAACGTCTTCATTTTTAAACATGTCAGTCTTCCTTGGTTGAACGCCTCTAGGTAGTAGTTCAACGTGTGTGCATTCACAATTTGCAAACTTGATAATTCGGATCCAAAGGCGGATCCTTAGATATGACCATTGGTTATATATTACCGTGAAGGCCGCTGTGGCAAAACTGAGCTAAATACACTATGAAATGATAACAACAAAAAACATTACTCTCAGACGCACTATATTTTTAGTATATATGTAGGATCCTGTTGTATTGTGCATATTTCAGCTTGGCGTGGTTATAATTATTTTAAATAAAAGACAAACTCACCTGAATCTTATTCACATACCTTGACAAACCGTGGTTCTTGTTAAACCATACTGGTATAAGTAACCGCGGTTTATGATTTATTTAAAATATCCCCACTGCCCAGGTGATATCGTGAATACGGCAATAAAACTACTTTAAGTGTACACAATAAACGGTCTATGTTTTTTTGTAAACACGCAGGACCTGGCAGACTAATAAAGTTAATAATTTACAATTCGTTGAAAAAAGCATGAACACTATGGAATGTCATATATATTAAATCATCCGAATCCAGTATAAAATCACTTACGTTGTTGTTTTTTTTGAGAAAAAAAATAATGCGATAAAATTGGCTAAAAAACAAACGACTTTTGTCCCTCGCGAAATTCGGGTTGCTATTTATTAATACTTATGAACTGAAATGTGCATACCACGTGCATGTTGTTAGTACAGGGTCATTTTGCGGTCACTTACCTTGAACTGTGTCAGTGTATATTTTGCCCCCAGCGGAAAGGTATAGTTTGGTATTAGACATGGATAGCGCTGTTTGTGTTTGATAGAGTTTAATTGGAGTGACTAACCAATTAGAAAATGAAACTTTTCTGAATGGATTAACTTGGTCACTCTGGGATATTCTCCATACTGCCTGTCACAGCTAATATCTAGAAATGTATGTGGCAAGCTCATGATGATTTTGCGAGGAAATCCCATGGTACGCAATTCTATCAGCTCTAGTATTCTACATAGTGAAGATACAGAGTCTCCGCCTGTACTAAGCTTGTACCTTATTCATCAGTTTGTCAAACTGTTACCTCGACAAAATGAATAGGCATGGATTTTTTTCAAACCAACATCCAGTGATTAAATTGTGGTATACAACGGACATCGTCACACGGAACTAGGTTAAACCATGGAACTATAAACTTATAGTTCCATGGTTAAACTAACAAGCAAAGTAGTCTATGACCTCGTTTTTTTCTACATTATTACGTTCTCCGTTACTGGGAAGTGTAAAGTGGTGTAAACGATCTGCGAGCGACAAAACGTTATTCACTTCTATTTACGTATTATTTAGTTATTTGGGGGGGGGTATTAACCAGCCTGAGGGTTATTTGAAGGTGTTTATGCGTGGAAAGTATTACTTTAATCTTTAATAGTCAACTATTATCAAGATGAAACAAAAAACATTTGATATTATTGTATAATATTAAATACTGTAAAATACTTTATTTCACTGGAATTAATTTTCGCTAAAAACACTTTTCAGGTATTTTGTATGGAATATGTTTTCACTCTGAATTTTAATGAGTTGAATGTAAAATATATATGAAAAAAAAAAGGTATATTCGCTGGATTTTATTTTCACTGAAACATTCCTTCAGCGAAAATTAATTCCAAGCGAAAATAAAATTTTCTACAGTATTACATTGACCACACTAACTTGTCTTTTTTGAGGGTGGGTACATGCTCGTTACAGGCGTGTACGTTCTCTTCTCAAGTTCTACCCTGGCATTATGGTGGATGAACACTTTTATCTTTCCTATTGAGGATTTGGGGAAAAAAAACACCCACAAGATCGGTGATGTTACTTTATTTCGGCTGTTGTCATTGTGTGTTACGTTTGGCGATTCTGTCACACCACAGTAATACTTGCAGTAAGATTTACACAGTAGTTCCCGCGCACCAGTCTCAGTCTACATAAATGCTTGGTACGTGTCACGTACTACTTCAGTGACTACAAACATAATATATCCCATAAACTATTTTAATCAAATCACTCTGTTGTACAACAGGACTGTGGTTGTACGTCATACGTTTGCAAGGGCTGTCGGGAAAATTGAACCCGCGAAACACAAGTAGCATAGCCCTGATGTTCGCCGTTCGTTTGATCGCAGTAGCAACGGATGTTATGAGTTAAAGTTAGAATCATGAATAGCACGGAAAAACACAAGCGGCGGTTGTTCATCATGCAAATCGTAAGGAAACTTGTTTCATATCAAATTTTCCGATTCGACGAACTCGATAACACTCTATAAGGCCAAAACCAAAAATTGTTTTGTTGCCCTCAGCGACCAACCGAAAAATATGAATTAACGGGTCGCGTTTTTTCCCATATACCTCGGCTATTTACGAAACCCTTAGTTTTCACGAGTTTAACAAAAAAATCCGACCGACCGACCCAATTTTTCAATTTTCCGACTTGAGGACAACATAAATTGTTTTGTTTTTTTGCCTAATGCAGAAAAAAACTTGAACCGATATGCCTTTGTTTTCTTGCATTCCGAATAATTGGTAACGTCAAACGTTTGAGTAAAAACTTGCAATTATATTGTCTGTGGAATCGTCAAATTTTGGCAAACTTTCCATGTTTAATTTGCACCCTGTCTGTGTGCAGATTGAATTGTGACGTATCAATCGTGACAAATACACTCTGTCGATGTTTGGTTTTAGATCCTAAAGTATTCCACCAGAGGGATAAATCACGACTATCAATAACTTATGTGGACCGATTTTCTCGTGGTCTTATCTGATTTTGGTGACACATTTTAAAGAAAATTTGACAAAATGTGACTTTTAATATGATTGTTTTTGTGTTTATTATTATTCAAAATCCCGGGCCCCTTTTTACAGAAAAGTGAATTTCCTTAATACTTGTTTGTTACGATTTGAGACAGTAGATTCAAAATTGCATATTATATTATTATTAATATAACAAGTCCGCCAATTGCTTCAAGTTGGCTGGCGAAGTACCCCAGATTGTTGCTCAGCTGCCACGCCTGAAAATGTACATCGCTTCATAGCTTAGCTTCATAGAGTGAACAACGCCGATCCCGCTCAACGCCACGAATCAGAATCATGTATCTGTTATTCTATCTCTATGGTGTTTCGTGGCCGAGCCAGTCTAAAAGGGATAGTATAAAATGGCGGCAATGGAGAGGGTATGTAAGGTCACATCTATTGTTCTTGCATCCAATTACACGTCGAAACAGAGGCGTATACAGCAGAGTAAGACGGCGCGACCACGTGACACGCGTGGCTAAGTAACGTGGATTCCTCGCTGACATATACACGGCTGTTAACTATATATATAAATGGCCTCTCAACGAGTTCTCAATACATCGCAACCTTGCTTACCCTAAATGAACTCTTACTCACGATAGAGACAAAAACGGGGTATTCATAATCGTACAAGTGAATACACGTAGACCATAATACGGGTCAGAATTGAACAACAACAACACGACGGCCATTCCACGTTTCAGTTTCACAGCAGTTCGACAGCTGCGGCACGTTGATTTTACACTGGCGATTGCTATTACTATATATATAGACAGTGGATGTTAATTTAAAATGACCTTATTACTCACCATATGAAATACTCGCTTAAAACTGTGCGTGATTATCGGTATGTACGTAGTAGACACGTTGACAACACAACGTCTTTGTAAGTTGAACCCAGAATGGAACTCCCTCAAATATATGCGAACATTTCAACAGAGCGCAGCAGAGAGCTCAAATGGAATGATCGAATAACACACGAGGACGGTTTCAGCATGTTCAATGTGTGTCATCCACATGAGTGCACGCGCCACGAGAGAGCGATGAGGGCCGATCATGCACGAATTGTGTGTATGTTTGTTGCTGTTATGAAAAGTGGTTGCACCAGTGCATGAATAGTCCACGACTTTTGGTAAGAGGCAAGTCATATGCAAATTTTTGTTCCGATCACTGACACAAGAGAGCGAGTGTTGGGTGGCTGTGATTTATTGCCGTTTAGTTTTAGAATTTCTGTTATCTGCCGTAAACCTATCAGGCAGCGCATTTCACACCGGAACTATATATAAAACTCTCTCGATTAAGTTCCAGGAAAATGTAACATATCGAAATGACAAGTTCTTTAAGATTGATCACTAGTTACCCGGATGTGGGTCAGGGTGGGTTCGAAGTGGACGCGCAAAAGTTTTCACGTGCGAACGCGTTCTATCGCCCATATATTGACATTACTGTGTGTTTTTCTAAATGTAGTTACAGACAAATTTTTTAAAAATCGCAAAGATTATTTTTCTAATCGAATGTGTCATGTATCATCCCAATAGAGTCTCATAATCTGCATCAGGTACTATCGTGTTTATCTCAAAAATAAGGTCCGTGTCCCTATTTTTCACAATCTATTCGCAAATATAAACAAAAAGTTTTTAGGAAACTAATGATCAATGCTTTCCCGAGGAATTGTAATAATTGTAATAACGTGTAATACACGTTTCGGTATGAATATTATTAATTTAAAACGTGTATATGCAATTTCAATAAAAATGATTCAAAATTAATATTTCTTTTACGTTAAAGAAAAAATGTTTGTGAAATAATATACAGTTATCGACCTCACCTGGTGCCGATAACCATTATCAATAATTTTAAATGCTATTGGCCGAAGCCGAGGTCAATTAACAGCCACTTGAGAAGCGATCAATCTTTATTACGGCCAGTCAACGTCGATAACTTTTGTACTATCCCGAAGAAGAATTAGACAGTGTACAAAAGTGAAACTGTTAACCAAAACGCAAACTTTCGGGATTGAAGGAAAATGACATCCATCTTGTAACGTGGAGAAATACATTGGAAAGTGTCACCCATCTTGTAATGTGGAGAAAAACATTGGAAAGTGTCACCCATCTTGTAATGTGGAGAAATACATTGGAAAGTGTCACCCATCTTGTAATGTGGAGAAATACATTGGAAAGTGTCACCCATCTTGTAATGTGGGAAAATATATTGTAAAGTGTCACCCATCTTGTAATGTGGAAAAATACATTGAAAAGTGTCACCCATCTTGTAATGTGGAAAAATATATTGAAAAGTGTCACCCATCTTGTAATGTGGAAAAATACGTTGAAAAGTGTCACCCATCTTGTAATGTGGAAAAATACATTGGAAAGTGTCACCCATCTTGTAATGTCGAGAAATACATTGTAAAGTGTCACCCATCTTGTAATGTGGGGAAATATATTGTAAAGTGTCACCAATCTTGTAATGTGGAAAAATATATTGAAAAGTGTCGCCCATCTTTTAATGTGGAGAAATATATTGGAAAGTGTCACCCATCTTGTAATGTGGAAAAATATATTGAAAAGTGTCGCCCATCTTGTAATGTGGGGAAATATATTGTAAAGTGTCACCCATCTTGTAATGTGGAAAAATACATTGAAAAGTGTCACCCATCTTGTAATGTGGAAAAATACATTGTAAAGTGTCACCCATCTTGTAATGTGGAGAAATACATTGAAAAGTGTCACCCATCTTGTAATGTGGAGAAATACATTGTAAAGTGTTACCCATCTTGTAATGTGGAAAAATACATTGAAAAGTGTCACCCATCTTGTAATGTGGAAAAATACATTGAAAAGTGTCACCCATCTTGTAATGTGGGGAAATATATTGTAAAGTGTTACCCATCTTGTAATGTGGAAAAATACATTGTAAAGTGTCACCCATCTTGTAATGTGGAGAAATACATTGAAAAGTGTCACCAATCATGTAATGTGGAGAAATACATTGTAAAGTGTCATCCATCTTGTAATGTGGAGAAATACATTGTAAAGTGTCACCCATCTTGTAATGTGGAAAAATACATTGGAAAGTGTCACCAATCTTGTAATGTGGAAAAATACATTGTAAAGTGTCACCCATCTTGTAATGTGGAGAAATACACTGTAAAGTGTCATCCAACTTATAATATGGGGAAATACATCGGAAAGTATCACCCATCTTGTAATGTGGGGAAATATATTGTAAATTGTCATCCATCTTGTAATGTGGAGAAATACATTGTAAAGTGTCATCCATCTTGTAATGTGGGGAAATATATTGTAAAGTGTCATCCATCTTGTAATGTGGGGAAATATATTGAAAAGTGTCACCCATCTTGTAATGTGGAGAAATACATTGTAAAGTGTCACCAATCTTGCAATGTGGGAAAAATGCATTGGAAAGTGTCACCCATCTTGTAATGTGGAGAAATACATTGTAAAGTGTCATCCAACTTATAATATGGGGAAATACATCGGAAAGTATCACCAATCTTGTGATGTGGGGAAATACATTGTAAAGTGCCACCCATCTTGTAATGTGGAAAAATGCATTGGAAAGTGACTAAAAGTCAGTCTACTCTACCTGTTGTGCTTGATGCTGTGGTTTGAATCCCACTCTTTATCCATTTCCAATAGTCCAGGAAAAAATATATTCAAACTGTGTATGTAACAGGTTCTTTTTGTCCTCTTTTTTTCGCAAACGATGTTCACCGTTTTTTTTAGTTTCCGTTTTTGCAAGGTTTCTCATTGTGTTTTCTTATTTGATTATATTTGTATTTTATTTTATTCATTTTATTTTATGTTGCTTATATTTCCCATTTTCTTTTTACTTATTTTTTTATTTCCTTTACTTTATTTCTTGACAGGTTTTGTATGTATGTGACAGCTGAACTATAAATTATTGTCTGGCTTACTTTTCTATGAAAACGTAAATATGAACAATTGTATTTTTGTGGGAGGTCATTTTATTGTAGTAAAATGATGGATGTAATACATTAGCTGCTTTTAGGTTCCCTATAATACTGCAATAATATCAGAAGGCAACAACTTTCTGGGACTTAATATATCACTGAATGAATAAATACATTTAGAGCCGTAAATTTATGGTTATTGTAATTTTAGCACACCCAACAGGACAATATAAACAATAGACCGTACAATTCATTAATTACTGTCAATGTAATATTCATGTGAACAATAGACCGTACAATTCATTAATTACTGTCAATGTAATATTCATGTAAACAATAGACCGTACAATTCATTAATTACTGTCAATGTAATATTCATGTAAAATTGAGAGAAAAGTTAGCTTTTTATTGTTACAGTCAGTTACCCTTTAAGTTGTACGCAAATTTTATTTGTGGCAATCGTTTTGAATTTCTGACAGTTGTTGCCTAGTGCCCTTGGTCTACGTGTGTGATAAGTAGTGCGTATCGTACTGTTCTAGGTTAGGTGCGCTTGGCGCGCACCCGAGGCAGAATTCCAACAGCAATGCTAGACAATATACGTGTATAACAAGATGTCGAGATGCTGAATTGTTCGAGTTGCGGACTTAGAGTTACAAAAAGTGAAGTTCACTAGCATGTTACTAAATTTGAGATCCTCAGTTATAATTATCGGAATAGTTTTCTCTTGTTCGGGTAAACAGGCGATGTTGGGCAGCCAGCCGGAGAGATATACGCGTGTTGAACAATAACTATATTTGCCAGTCTTGATATATGGAAGTGACGTATGGGAATTCCATAGTAGGGCCAAAATTGAACCCGTGCAAATCACATTTTGTCACTCAATTTTTAAATTATGTGAAAGGCATAAAGTAGGGAATGTTTTCAATAAAAATGACCTGTAGAATTATAGGCGTAGACAATGTGGAGCTCTGGAGCCAATCATTATTAAATATTTGAATTTGAATGAAAGCTGATGATCGATAATTGAAAATAAAAAATAAAAAAAAATATTTTGCCAACCATCCCAAAGTTCTCAACATATGGGAAACTTATATGAACATAAGAAGTACCTTACAGAAGTTAACAATTTGTCCATGAAATTTGAGAATTAAAGCGCGGTGGTCGTCGCGCAGCGCGTGTTCGAATTTCATGTACATAAACAATGTATTACACGCGTTGTATACGTCGCTATGAGTCCCATATCGAACAGGGCGCGGCACGACGACTGCCGCCCTTTAAAACAGACAATCCAATAACAGAACTGATACTGATTCGAATATTCTGTACAGGTACAAGTACAGATGAATGTTATTTCTATCTGATATGTTCATTGGATAGAGAGTTAGGATGTCAATATATACATATACCCGAGCTATGACCTCACCATCAACAAGAGACAAATTCACTCATGAGCACAAATATTGCATCTCTGATTTTACATCTTTCGAAATTTGTGTTCTATGCAACAAGGAAACGTAGTTTGTATAACGCAGGCAATTTTGTTAATAATTAACTTCGATGTATAACTACTCAAGTATTCTATGGTTTGCTTGTGAGTTGTAATGGTCTGAACCGTATGGGGACTCCTAGAATCGCGGGATTAGGTTGCGGGAGTCCCTTCATGGGGATCACGTCCATGGGGTGGGCAGATGCCCCCAGGAATACTCCTGAATAGCGATATACAATGTCTTTAATATTAGACACATACATTGTCAAGCGAGTTGGCAAACTTTTCGGTTTATCCCATTGCGACCATTGAAACTGTTAACTAGAGTGAGTTTCTGTCAGTACATTGGATCAATGGCTTCAGTCAACCAACATAAAAGGTGTCATGTGGCATAAAAAATACCTGTTTATAAGCTGTGCGTTATCAGGATGTAAGTTTTATTTGATATAATAAAACTTTTGTCCATATTCTTCTTACAAAGGACCTATAAAATGTCTTTTCCATATGAGCCTAACAGAAACATTTACATATGAAAAATCTGTATTTATAAATAGATACCGGACATAACATCACTTTGTTTGTAAATATTATTACATAAACACATGAAATGATAGCCCATTTATATATATAGATCGGCTGAAACTGACGCCGGACGACGGTGTTGGAATCAAAATACGTAACAGGCGCATGGCAACGTGTTGGGGTGGTTGCAATGTATGTTTATTCAAACCGTGCTTTCTTCTATGTATCCACTAGGTTCATTGCAAAACAACGCACGTCTCTCAGGTTGTACACTCAATATAGTCAGGTCACGTGGTAGATGGCAGAGGCTCGTTCTATAAAATTAAATGCGTATATTATCAAGTTATATTACACAAAATTGCATCATTGATTTATTGTGAAACACGACAAGCACTTTGTCACATTTATGGTCCATATAATTCCATATCATAATGTCTCATCTATTTCGCATGGGTGTGATAATTATCAACATCCTGACTGTTACCATGGGTGTGTTTGTAGTAGGTGGGAAATGACTAATACGGGGTTGGGCTATACATATAGGTCACTGAATGGTACACATTGTTGTCAATATTATTAGTACACTGTCGATCCATTAAAACACTTCAGACCGAAAACCGAGGTATTTTCGTAGATGGCAGCGATGGTGTGTAATTGACTGCCATAAAACAGGATTTCAGCGACGTTTACTGCGCCTTTTTTATTTTTTTATAATGCTGCTCGCAAATCTTGGATACACAAAGATGGGGTCATGGTGAAATGGGTCAAATATCCACGAAAACAGCGATCTTACTGTTAGTGTATGGCATTATTGTACAAAGTATGGCCTGATATACTTAGTCAGAACATTTGTACTAAATTAAATAATTCGGGAATAATAATTGGGAAGTAAATCAGACTCACCTTTTGCTTCATGTGGCAAATAATATTGGCCCAGACGAATGCAACTATGCTGACATAAACGACTCTGTACTTGGGTGGTACCACGTGAAAATTTACAGCCTGTGCAAACATGAAAAGTATATTGTCCCAGTAACATCTGCGATGTCAATCATATACTATTATGAAGCACATTGGTATTTCACTTTCACTGCATATTTTAAATTACTCCGGTGATCTGAACGCATCTATTGCTTTATTCAATTGTCAGACACACATGGGACGCGGATCACTGAACCGACATTGAGCGAATGTTGGTGTAGAGCGCCATCATACGGCGGCAACTTACCTGCGCCGTCGCCCAGAAAGCGAACCCAATGGAATAAGTTGGCCAGAATTTGAGTCGAACTTCGGAAAAGATATTCTTCTGTCGTTCCACTATACTCATTCCTTAAACAAAACACGAAAAGACACTACTAGAAACAATCTTCAAACGCTGGTTCATTTGTTGCATGGATGTACTGAGGTCGTAATGGGTCCCGGGAATGGGTCCTTTTGACAAACTCAGGGTTGGGTCATTTACAGTTACGGAGGGTGTACACGTTGTACAATCTTTATGTCTTTATTTTTCAAGGTACTTCAAATCGACCTGCCAATTTGGGGTGTAACATATATTTGAATAACTATCCTTGGGATTATATCACGTGACAACTAGCTATAGATTTGATGACTTGCAGAGACAAAGTTGTCACGTGATATTGAAGTAACTTAAAGGGCGGTGGTCGCAGCGTGTATTCGAATTTCATGTAAACAATGTATCTTACACCTATTGTATACTTCGCTATGTGTCCGATATCAAACACGACGCGGCTCGGCGACCACCTCCCTTTAACTTGAAATGGTCATTCGATTAGGAGCTCAAGAACTGAAAAGCCACATCGATACTTAGCTAACCTCCATAAAACCGCTGTACCTTTTGGTCAAGCTACATTCCAACTAAATCTACGGCTAGAGCGAATCATGCATATATAATAACTGCGTTGCCATAATAGTTGAACTTTAACAAATCGGCTTCCTTTCCGCCGCATTAACTCTAATCAAAACACACAAAAATGGTTGGAATATTTTTATTCTCAGCACGTGTACAGAGTCTGATTCTTTGAGCCACTGTGGGGTGCATACGTGCCCATAATGATTAAATAGATGTGGTCGAAGAGAATCAACAACACACCCCTTGAGCTCTCGGGATGGAACGACTCGAAAGATTCAGACGACTAACATTCGTGCATGTGTTAATCTTTATGAGATGAGATCAACATCTCAATTATTTTGTGTGCCAATATTCTTAAGAATGTTCAGTGCAGTTTCATGAAAGTCTTTGGATTATACATGTATATCGAACAGATTGCTCATTGCTATACAAGGTCATACGTGAAAAAATAAAATGGGGTCACGGATCAAACTTTTGAGACAAACATCGACGACGCGCCTTATGGAGTACAAATCTTTAGAACAAAATTTGGGATAATAAAACTATGTATCCGGAACTACATTTTGAAAAGAATGGAAAAGGTCTAGGGGTACAGACCTATGTCTGTTTACAAGAAATTCCAACACTCATCTCGACCCTTTACTAGTAATTATTTCTGGGTAATCTGAAGGATCGGCACTTAGTAAAATTTTATGACACACTTTGAGATCACTACTCGTTTCACGCCAATCCTAGAATTTATATTCACATGGGTATTTTGGTAATAATTGTCTACTCCTTTATCGTAAATTGTTATCTCAGATTCAGTGTGTATCACTATGTTCAACGAATTAATATCATTTGTGGGCGAGTTTGTTACACACAGGGTTCCGACTGAGCTCATTCGTGTTAGGTTCTAATACGACGTGGCATATATAAATAAAACCCGCCTAATCCTTTTTAGTCAATCAAACTGCTTCATTGCAGAACTTTATATAAACTAAATGTCCTTTTTCAGAGTTTCCCTAAGTCAAATTTCTTTGTTCCCATAAATCCAGTCGCACTAGGCTTTTAAACATAATTTTCCTCATAAATTGTTCTCGAACTTTTATATAGATCTATCATCCACAAAGATGAAACACTGAGTTAAGAGGAAACCACAGTCTGGGTTTGATCCCATAAGTCAAACATGACGAACACGCTGCTATTAAGCTGGAACATAATATCGGTTATTGGCTTTTGGGCGTTATATTTTGGACTTGGATCATGAATATTCATAAATTGACCATTATGCAGATCTTGCGAAAAGGGTCCACCTTCCACAATTTCTTTATGCAAATTTTATGAGCACAGTGATTACAAATTCACGGTTGGTGTGTTGGCTCATGGAGGTAAAAAAGGATATCTCTTTTTACCTCCATGGTTGGCTGTACACCGGAAATTCGATTGAATTGAGTGTCGCCTGGCGAGGTCGAAAAGAAAAAGTTGACCTCATATTCATAGTGATCGCGTAGTATTCAAGACACCCATTTGTTAGGTTGTGTCGGTTGCACATGTGCTTCGAATCGTCAATGTGCAGACAGACCTTCTTATGAGCATGCGCCTACCTGACATGAGACTGGACATGTAATAATATATAATATACCGTGATCTCTCAAAACCCATTTAGAGCGAACTACAGTGGGACTGGGATAGCTCGGATTACATAGACATTTCTTCTATAAAGTGGTTTGAATATTGTCACAAACATTCAGAACGTAAAAGAACATGAAACTAAGTACTTTGGTACATTTTTGGAAATTCTTTGAAATAAGTAGTGCTATTTCTTAAAAATATGATTCTGAAGGAGATTAATAATTTTTTTTTATATAAATGGCGTTTGGCGTCACATTTTTCAACTCGATAAGCTGGTCATATTTCCAGTTTCCATGCATTATTTTATGTAGTATTAAGACGTTTTCGAGCTAAAAAATAACAATTGATTATTCTTAAAAAAGAAAGCTTTTTCTTGATTTTCAATGGTTATTTTCGGTTGCTGAAACCTAGATTCTCGCCAATATTGAAGTATGAATAGTCGAAAACTAAGCGGCACACCCTTGTGAATGTTTTCAATTGAAGCACCAACCACACCCCACAGGGTCTTGTAACGTTTTCAAGTTAGAAACGTTACAAGACCCTGTGCCCCGCCACCCCGCATGAATCAGCTCAGCTGAATGTTATGAACAATGAGCCCGTGGTGAGTGCAGTCACTGACAAGCTTCGTAACCTATAGTATACCGGTATACGCAGCGAATGCATGATTCACTGCATGTTTTGCCTGGGTGACTAAAACGCACTACAACAAAAAATACCATATAAACTTACTGGGAACTGTTAATAGGTTGTGACAGTTTATGCAAAAATACACTAATCACCACAATGTTTGTTTACGCAATAGTACATGATATATTATTGTTGGTATGGCAATAATGCACAATATTTATAAACCTGCTAGATCTTCTTGTCTCGATGTATTTTTAAAAACAACTTGAATTGAGTTCTTTTTTTAAATGTTGTTTGTGCCAGTCGACAGTTCCAGACATTGAATGCCATTGTTGTGCTGACACAGCGTGCATTTTTGAGAAGCCATATTCAGGTTTGGGACAACATGACAGGGTTGTGCAACTAAATGCGATATCCAGGCATTATCCAAGTCCGGTCGAACACAAGCAACTGCGGACCTTAACCAAGGTTCGCCAAAGTCGCAATCATTAGAGATTGAATCTCGGCCAATGAAATTGGTCTTCCATTGTGACACACTCATCCAGGGTAGGGACGATCTACCGATCATGTGTCTGATGCAACAACTACTATGCTACCTGTGACCGGTCATTGCCACATCTACCAATCTTTATAAAATCGAATGTACTGTAATTTTTATTTTTGTTTTGTAATCTTGCCTATTATCTTAACTGAAAAACAACTAACAAATAAAATAGTAAATCATATAAAATAAAGTTGAAAAAAAATAAAAAAATATAATCAGGTTAGAGTAATGGAGGAACTTGTACAAGCAAGTGTGTCGGGCTGAACAGGTTCAAGGTTTACACACGGATCGATATAATTTGTTAATGTTATTTTTGAAATATTATACTACCGCTCTATAATTGGTTATTATAAGATTAATTTCATATTAAAATTGGAATTATCACATTTCTTAAGTCTGTAAATTATCAATTATACATTTTTTCGATATCAGGTAACCATAAGTTTCAAACATCGGTTCTGAAACAAAATCCGTGTATCTGAGCCGTAGACATATTTTTAAATGAATAATTTAAAAAAATAAATCCTTTAGGCTATTGTATTATATTTAAGTGACTCCCCGCGTTGCGATTTTGCAACGACAGTTTATATTGAACGAATTGCGGGGACACTAAGCTCTGAGGGGAAACGTTTAACTATAGATGTGATAAAACACACTGAGTAATACTTGGACACTACGTCGTCATAAACAGAACATTTTGCACAAACAGCTTCATGATTCACGCACTTGTCATGACCTGCATCACACAACAATCTGATATACATATTATTACCTAATATTCACCACAATGAAACTCGGTTCAGGCATGGAGGTTTATACCTCCATGGTTCAGGTCACTTAAAAGTGCGCACCGGGTATTCGTAGGGTTTAAAGTTGAATGCAGCAAAAAGCCCCCAGTCATACATGTATCTGACTGTCTCAGGCTGTTAGGGTTTCCCATTTGAAAACTGGGAGTGGAAATTGGATGTCTACATTTCGTTTTCACATTTGTATAAAAAACAATTTATTTCTTCTCATCCCTTCATAGTGTTACACTGCTCTTTGCTATGGTATACGTTTTTGTTACTAAAAATGCAGCCATCAAAATATTCAAATGACACCCCCCTAATTTCATGTACTCACCTAAATAAAATCCAGCAATACTAACAGGCGTGAACACGAGAATATCCAGAGCTGTTTTAGTTAACACAATCCGTGTTGTAACACCTTTAAATGCACCGTCCAGAAATTTGTACCACATATGGTTGATTGGTCCGTTCCATAGCACACATGTTGTTCCAACGCGTGAAATTTTGCTTATATCGTATCGTTGTGTTGTCGTCTGCTGCGTCAGCTCAGCTGCTGAGTACATTCCAACAAGAACGCCGATGTTTTTCGTCGCGCTGCTTCTCACTATTCTACGCAGTAATGACATGGTAGTTGTGAACTTGAACACGGCAGAAAAGAATGGACTGAAATTAAAATTCGTCTTCGTAAACAATCCCCGCACAGATCATTGAATAAATCAGCTGCGCAACCTAAACATACAACACCCTTAACTTCCGGCCTTTGTGTATGTCTGTGACGTAATTATCGACGCGACCAGCATTAACATAATAAACACACAACGAATATCTTGTTCCCTTTCTAATATATTTCATGTGTAGTTCCCACTCGTGTTGACGAAAATATGAGCTGAGTTTATTTATAGGTATTGCGTGAATGTAGATTCATTGATTTTCTAGTCGAAACAGACAGATGCGAATATACATTGGGAACGAACCATTTTTTCGCGGGGGTGTCAACATCTATAATGTACATTTGTTACTTCAGTTCTGCGTTGATTTGAATATTCCAACTCTTCAGTTTGATACAAATTATAATTTTTCCGAATCTCTGGGAAATAATGGTGAAATGAAAAATGAATGCTAACAAAGCTTAAATAAAATAAATGGATGATGACTTATTTGTGAAAGAAAGTGTAAAGCCGTGAATTGATATTACAGATATATATTCATAATATTTGATAAATGTACGCGGTTTAATATGGCGCATACTATGATTTTGTAGGACATGTGCCGTATGTGTAATGCTGTCAGGAAGAGCGGGACCCTGGCTGATTCCATGCGTGGCTTGCTGCCATAACGAACCTGGTAGGCACAATCAGCGCAAGGTCGGACGTGATCCTTCGTCAGGGATTGGTTGAATGTCTGTTCCTGCCCTAAAGGTCAAGAAGAGTGAAGGACAAATCGTGCGACTGGTACGTGGGCATCACTAGAAATGTACAACGCGGTGTAAATATTGTTTTGGTGACAGACTGATCGCAATCTGCATTTGTGTTAAAACACAAAAACACTTCACAGCTTTGTCGCTTCGTTATCGACCATATAATGGGAATTATCAGTGGTTTCCTTGAGAACGGACAATTCCTACTTAACAAGAGCAAATAGGGTTTTGTCAATACGCGATAAATAAATAATCCAATATTGAGACAAACATACTGACCATCGCATAGTCATGTTGTAATTAAATAACGGATTTCAATTTGAAATACTGATGGCGCTGTTTGAAGGTTAGCGCGCGTTTACTATTATTGGATCTCATCTTACTGAGCCCATTTCTGATGTGCTACGTCCCATTTATGTTAGTTTAGTGTAATTTTATTTACGTGGCGTTCTAACCTAACGAGTGTTCCAAGGAATAGTACGACCAATATACGCGTAAAACAATTAAGACGCATGAGAACCATTTAGAAACTCATTAAATCCTGACATTGCTCTGGGTGTGAAATTAACTATCATTGGAATAATGAATGAATCAGATCGTTTTCCTACGCCCCACAATCACCCAAACAACCGTCATCGTGATGGGGCAGTGTCAAATCAGTCAGATGGCAGCCAAAGACTGATAAATTATGTATATATATATATATATATATATATATATATATATATATACGGGCTTAAATATAAGCTAATCTCATATGTTTGCATATCGGATAGTAGTTAGGGTTAATAGTTTGCACGGGCTAAGGAACGCCCGAAAAATGCTAAGCATTACCAACAAATTTTGTAATTTGTGGAAAATGACAGTTAATGAAGATAAACGGATAGACCCGTTCACGCACGCGGGAAACAGTGGTTAGTATTGGCTAAGGAACGCCCAAACTTTGTAAGAATATTCAACAATTTTCAGTCATTTTAACAAGGAATATTCAGTACAGTCACCAGTAAGGTATACAAGTTAGTTCCTCGGTTCTAAAACAACACCAAAGCAAATTCAGAAACTGCAGACTGCAGAATAACAGGAAGTAGCACATATCCTAATCGTCTATTTAAACAACTTAGATTGTCCCTGGTTGTGCTGCCGTTGATTGTCATGTCGGAAATAGCATGCCGAAATGAATAATTACATTGTAATACTAAAACGTCCAAATGAACATTAAATACATTTTGAGCACTTACACTTCGTTACCCTGTTCTAAGGAGCAAAACCTGGTCTTTAAAACGGGCTAGATTTAATCCGTACCGTGCTAAGCGTTCATGCACGCGTTCTTAGCACGGGTTAAGATATTCGATCTCTTTGCCTGTGCTAAGAAGCTGTGCGTGAACGCTACTTATATATAACCTGCCTTTCACCAAAATATAACCATAATTTCCTCGAAAGATATGCTGGTGGTCCCTTTTACTACCGGTAATTCAACATCATTATACCGACCATGTTTGTTTCAAATGAATAACTTTTCATATTTTCAGTAGTAAGCTCAAACCTTTTCCTTTTATTGCGTTACTAAACGCGCCCGCGAAAGAAAGGAAGGACTTTACAAACCAATTGTACAATTCTGTTGACCGGAAGTATATCACAATAAATCGCCTCATGGATTTTGTATGTAATTTATTTTTTGTCATGTGAATGAAAGTGTTCAGTTCATGCATGTACATAATTTAGTTAGCCTTTACCGCCATCAATCGTCAAACCTTTATTACTGACACTGGTCTCTATTACATGTATTACATGTATTCCAGGCGACATCAATGTACATTTTTCATTTTATTTTAAATTACATTTAACAATTACAAATCTGTACAACGTCTCTTCCGTTACGGCAACATACATTTTTGTTTTGTTGAACGTCCACATTTAGTAACTCGAACTTTAATTAATATATAACCAAACTTCGAGTTACGGGCATCATAGATTTGTTTTGTTTGACGTTTTATGTTCGGTTAAATGTTAATCTATCGTTTTTATTTTCCAAGGAACCGGATATGACCGGGACGATATTCGTGATAATAGCTCCACTACGTGACGACGACTCATTTTTATATAGAATCAGGTGATTAGGATTAATTGAGATAATTGCCGTGTTATATACAATAACACTCACAAAACGTTGTTATCAAAATACTGACACAAAGTAATTTCATCGTATACATTTTCTATTTGTTTTTGTTTGTTTTGTTTTTATTTGGGGACACAATTATAATCACTTTATATGTTTTACCTCACGTTGTATGTCTAATTATAAAATATTTAAAAATATATTTCTTTTAATTTCAATACACATGGACATACAGTGTAGCATTGGTGAACATTACCTATGGCATCCCAATACCCATCATCATCATCCAGTCAAAATCATAATCGTGTTATTTATTTGGATTTAAAATATTCCACTTCATTTAAAAGATGACTTAAATCTCTCCCATTTGTGAGGTTGATTCTCCTTCCTATTGATTACTAACATGAAATAGTTATCACCGTGACGTTTCCAGATGTTTTAAATACTACAAATAAATAAAAAAAAAACTTAAAATTCTATTATTAGATAATGATCATGAAGCCAAAAAACTTGATTCGCATCTGGTAATGGTTTAATTTTGAATTTCTGCAATAGTGTAATGTGGAGGTGTCCTGAATATTAGTAAACTGTAAGTATCATAAAACAATTAGTCGCGACTGTCCAGTTGGAGTGAGGGCGCTATCACATGTGTTTACACTACACATGCACTTACTATTGTGGTCACGTATATACATCACCGTGTTGAATAATCTTCACTTTTATGAAGTGTATCCTTCCGCGCTTGATTGGTTTATACTTTCTTGTTATACACTTTCTTTTAACGATTGAAATCCATACACTCGTATTGAGAGTCGGTTCTACGGTCGGGTGAACTTCAGTATGGTTGAATATTGAAGGCAACTGGTGAGTTATTGATTCTCAGCGAAATATAAACTTACGAACTATATGTTTGTATTCGTATGTAAACGAGAAGGTGGAACCGAAGCGTTAGTCTGTGCGAGACAGATTTTAGTGGTATTGTAAATAGTAACAAACTGCAAGTGGTTACTACTTGATATAAATTTCATGTGTTTTTTTTTCGCAAAAAAAAAAACATGTAACGGCGGATTCACGAAAGTCGAATTTCTTCCGTCTTATTGAGGGGTCCCGGACCTGTTTGAAGCTAAAACAGGTAAGCCACTAGCAACGACAGCGTGCTTAGAAACCATACATGCATATATTTATTTATGAGTAGTCTGTTGTGCTGATATTTTGCGTTGCTCTGATAAGCAACAATAGTGAGAGTGGGCCCTGTAGTGTTAGGTCAATTTCACACGATGCTGACTGGTCATTTCGACATTGTATCTTTTGTAACACTTAGCCTGACTGTGACAGCCCCCACCCCACCCGCGCTGGACCTAATTCATTCCAAGATACTAGTACTGTATAGTATACGACCATTTGGATTTGTTTATCATGCAAATGACTTCAAATACTGAATACAACAAATCTGTTGTTAGCATTGTCACTACAGCAACGAACCGTACGCGTCGGCGTTAAAATATCTGGACCCGAGTGCTACATGGCTTTGTTGTATATAACAATGGTCTGTAAGCACTGTGCTGAGTAGAAATGCCGCTAGACCAGTTTATTATATATATATATATATATATATATATATATATACTGTATAACACTAAATACTTCACTTTTACTAATACTGGACGGATTAACAGCAAGGATTTGACATTGAAGAACGATCGATACCTTATCATTAATAATCACATTTACAATTTTTTACAATCACGTTGACAAAATTGGTCCCATTTGGCAATACAGAAAGCGAATAAGTGAACAACGTAAATCGAAATAGAACACTTCTGTTCTCTATTAGTTCAAAATTCGCGAAAATAGACTGGCTACTAAAACACAATTATATGTGTTCTTTCGGTTATCACAAACGCTACTATAAAGAACGTCTAGACCGTGACAGCGAAACATTAAATCACGCCTCCTATCGGCGTATAGAGCATATATAGTTGTTTTGTAAAGCTTTGTTTGTCGGCAGTTTTCTTACTGTTATCATATCGGTTATCGTAATCATAGCCATTTCGGAACCTAACACAAACGGTTAATAGCCTAGTTATTGCTTATTGGGAGACTGTTGCTATGGTATTCAATTGAGACAAAATATGTATAATATAGAATCTATACGGCGAATTGAGGCGCCCAACATAATTTTCCTTGGAAATATCCAAAATTTGAAAATCCATTTAGTACACAGGAATATTGTTATAATTGAATATACGCATACTCATTATCAAAACTAGAAACAGTCAATACCAATGCCGCGAGTTAGTAACTTTTACTCTATTTGGAGTCCCCATGGAAATGAACTCGGCTAACCCGATAGGGGAAACATTCCACACGAGAAGCGCAATGCATGTTGATGCTGTGCTCTACTATGGGAGCCTACCAATCTAGAGTCAGGTTCATTGGATGAAGTAAACTTTAATAGAGGATGTAAACTTTGATAGGAAAGTTATTTGAACTAACATACCGGAAGTAAGTTTATCTAGCGTGCTGATTGTAGTTGAAGAAGTAATGGCGGTTGATTTGAATGTCTTAGAATTTACGCCTGAAATGAGGGCATACATCAACCATAGTGGTAGTTGGAAACACAGTGTTAGATTGTAGAAAATAATATTACGTGCTTCGCACATACATGTACTACAAATAAATTGTTTGTTTACAAGTAATGTATACATGTTTTTTTCACTGGATACTCTAAATTCAAATATTATGTAGATATTGTTAAATGATCAGTCACTTTGACCTAGAATAATCGTATACATTTCTATGTCAACAACATGATGCTACAAAAAATCCCAGGTGATTGCCATAATATTTGTTGTATGTTTGCGCTGAATGAATGTCTAACTCTAAAACACATGTGAAGAATGTATACTTATGTAGAGTTTCCTTCCATTTTTAGGCATTCTTTTTTGTGAAATATACCAGAAACGTCGAAATATGTCGAATTCAACTACAGACCCCGATGCATACTTATGCTATGACAAGGGGCTAATTTTACCAATAGTTAACGAATCTACATGGTCAACTGGTGCACGAATTACGGTCTATCTAATTGGGTTGATATATTGCCTTTATGGCGTCTCCATCATTACTGGCATTTTTATGTCCTCTATTGAAGTGATCACCAGTAAAACAAAAACTGTGAATATAGCGAATCCGAAGGCTCCAGGAGGAACACAGAAACTTAAAGTGCGGGTGTGGAACTCTACTGTGGCCAATTTGACCCTAGTGACGCTGGGGTCACGGACCACTGAAATTCTTCTCTGTCTGATTGAGATTGTTGGTAATGGTTTCCATGCCGGTTATATTGGTCCAAGTACAATTATCGGTTCTGCTGCTTTCAATCTCCTTGTCATCACTGCAGTGTGTATTGCTTGTCCTCCAATCGGAGAAGTCCGCTACATCAAGCAGATTAAAGTTTCTACACTCACAGCCGCCTTCTCTATTATTGCTTATATTTGGCTGCTTTTGGTTCTGCTTGTCATTACCCCAAATATTGTTGAACTTTGGGAGGCTATATGCACGTTTATCTGTTTTCCAATCCTCGTCGTAATAGCGTTTATGGCTGACAAGGGTTACCGTGGAAGAAATGTTGCTAAAGATGACGATAAACAGGCTCTACTCGGCATTGGTAGGTATCTTGTAACAATTTATTATTAAATTAACATGTTTAAAATTTCAAGTTTATTTTAGCCTCAGGCCCAGGTGATATGAAATACGCCCTAAAAGTCATTTTATTGGTGAAATATTGATGAAAAAGAAAAAAAATGTACCATTATACAATACCATTCGTATATGATATAAAATGCCATAAACTGCAGGAAGAGTTCTTCTTGCATATTTTTAATGCCGCGATTGAACACTGAAGCCAATTTTAAACTAATTTCTAATCAGAAACTTGTGTTTGATGACAAATCATTTGAAACACGTGCCTTTAACATACTTATTTTGTTTTCAGTTATATGACTTATCATTTATAAACCAAGGAACATCTTCGGTTTTGGCGAAATTTGCCGAAAAAGTCTCAGTGAGATGTAATTCAAACACGTCATTATGAATGGTACAGTACTTAGATATTTCTGCCCGCAAAAACTTCCGTGTCAGAAAGCCACTTGCTGTGAACATCCAGTGTAACGCATAGTAGTTGTTGAAGGGGATAATTTTAGTCAATATTAGTTATATTTCCATGCCGATTAATTTTTCTTTAACGTAATGTTAATTAGAAAAGTAATTTCAAACTTATAAATACATTTTTGAAATGCACACATGCCAGATTGTAATCCCCCTCCCTGGTGTTGTAATGGATATATATAAAGAGGTGTTCGAACATGCTTTTTATTATGACTGGTATTTAACATCAGGTAATGTTACCAGAGAGGGTGTAGCTGATGTGATGAAAGAGATGGGCAAGCATCCAGATATAACCCAAGAACAAGCTGCAACAATTGCAGCCATCGAGGCTGAGAAGAACTCTCCTCACACCAGAGCTTGGTATCGTGTGAGTGAAACAAGGAATATGACTGGAGGACAAAAACTGATTCCCACTGTGGATCCTAAATTACTCTTGGTACGTTTAACATTGTATTACTACTGTGACAATACAATTTATTTTATGTCATGTTTGTGTATATTTCAAATACATGTGTATGGGTGTTATGTAGTATAATAACAGACCAGGTGCATAGAAATACTTCACAATCACTATTCAATTACCTATCTAGTAATGATTTTGTCGAGGAACCAAAATTCTTGCACCAGGACAGTTTGCCAGTATGAATGATTGTTTTACCATAAATGCACTGAAAGCTTTTTGAATTTATTGGCCTACTTATTGCAGGCATATGACCAAGTCAAGATGGGCAGCTCTATTTCAATTGGGTCCACACTGTTTCCTGAAATTCCAATAGTGGAATTTGCTGCTGCATCATGTGCTGTGTATGAACACGAGAAACGAGTACGTGTTTGGATTAACAGAAAAGGAAACATACACCCTCAAATTGTATTCAAGTAAGTATTCTTAGTTTCTATCACATCACTAAATCTTTATGAAATCAGTTCCAAGTTTCGTCTCATCTTTGTGCACGGAAGATTGTGTTCACATCTATGTCATGGTTCAGTCTAAGATGGCCAACTAGCATCCTTTTTCGACAAAATTTGGTTTAATTTTAAATTGCTCGTCATAAGAATGTTTGAATTAATGTTAGAAATAAATGTTCATGCAAATCAAACGGTCGTAAAACTCATTTTTTCCCCACAAGTTCAAAAAAACAAAAGAAAAGCTGTGAAAAGCACAACGAAATGCTGGTATGTGCCTTGTCGTCATAATTGTCCTTTTGTCATGAATTAGTTTTCGCGTATCTGTTGTCCGACTTATTTAGCTTGTTACTAGTGAATGGCTGTGTTATATCTGTAATCATTAAGGCTCATGCGAGGTCCTGGACGGAACTTGACTTAGTGATTTGGAACTAATTACGATATAACCGTTGCCAACCGGACTACTATTTCTGATGTTTGGTATTTACAGTTATTAATATAGCGGACGATTAATCAAAAGATATGACGTGTTCAGCACTTAGTTTGATTGGCTATGTGCAAGTTGAATGTGCGAAGGTTACGCCTTATGTCTTTAAACTTCTTTGTAATTGGTTAAGTTTTGATACGTAATAAACGGTCTAAGTCCTTGGTCCCAGAGAGAGAGAGAGCTCCACGAGGCGAGAGAGTCTTGGTTAGTCCGGGGCAGAGTCTCCGACGAGGCAGTTCTCCTTGAGGTGTTCTCGATGTGGCTAAATACTAGCTATTGAAACGTATTCCGTTGTGTGCGTCTATTCGACTGTAAAGATTAGGGACTTTCCCGGTCCGGTACCTCAAGCAGACGTGATAGAGACGAGACGAGAATTCCCCTGTGACACGTGTTGGAGAAACCCGGGCATGATACTTTTATGAAAGATGAGCACTTAATAAACATTATTTCGCGGAAACCTGGCACTCCAATATTCAATTTTATTGAAAAAAACACCAAAAAATAAACACGTCTTTCCAGTACGGTCCATGGTTGTTTACTCAAACTGTCAAATTAGCCTTGAGTAGTAAATATTCTCATCTAATCAAAAAAGCTACACCCTAATTGAAAACCTTGGTCTGCCTGATACTCATGCTTTATTCAACTCTCCGGGATAGTTATAATAGAAATTGAAGAGGTGATTAAAGAGCGCTGATAATATAGCAAATACGGTGTTATGACCATAGACACACCTCTGTCTTTTACGTAAGTATATGCGCTGCTAATATAGCAAATACGGTATTATGACCATGGACACACCTCTGTCATTTACGTAAGTATATGCGCTGCTAATATAGCAAATACGGCATTATGACCATAGACATACGTCTGTCATTCACGTAAGTATATGCGCTGCTAATATAGCAAATACGGTATTATGACCATGGAAACATCTCTGTCTTTTACATAAGTATATGCGCTGCTAATATAGCAAATACGGTATTATGACCATGGACACACCTATGTCATTTACATAAGTATATGCGCTGCTAATATAGCAAATACGGCATTATGACCATAGACACACGTCTGTCATTCACGTAAGTATATGCGCTGCTAATATAGCAAATACGGTATTATGACCATAGACACATCTCTGTCATTTACGTAAGTATATACGCTGCTAATATAGCAAATACGGTATTATGACCATAGACACATCTCTGTCATTTACGTAAGTATATACGCTGCTAATATAGCAAATACGGTATTATGAACATAGACGCATCTCTGTCATTTACGTAAGTATATACGCTGCTAATATAGCAAATACGGTATTATGTTCCTATACCTTTTGCAGAATGGCATTTAAAAGCGTTTCATTTTCAAATCAACTGTTGAGCTTGGTGTGAAAATATTTAGACCAATTTGCCTTTTCAGCATTATGTTGCGGGGTTTGAAGAAATACATCATTGCAGTGTGATACAGTCTATAAATATCTATCTACATTCAATAGGTTTGAGACATTGGATGGGACAGCTGAAGCCGGTTCTGACTACATAGCACAGCGTGATACTATGGTGTTCGGATCCAATGAGACACAGAAGTTCATTGACATTGATATTATTGATGACAACGAGTGGGAACCAGATGAAGTGTTTTTTGTGAAGCTGTCAGTAGACAGTAAAAGTGGAGCTAAGTTGGGAAAGAAACACATTATGCAAATTACCATTATCAATGACGAGGGTTAGTTTTACATATATCTCAAAAGGTTCAATAAACACAACCATATAAACACGTCACATGGAATTTGAACTAAGATGCAAATGCACCTTGCCCGTGTACCCGTATGCACATTTCACTACACTATGCTAATCGCAGATGGAATATTGAAATAATGTTTATTAACCAAGGTTAACTAACCTTGTATTAACCCTAGTAATTCAGTGACTTGATAAGTTATATAATTTGCTTCGTTTGATTGATTAAAGAAATATATTACATTACCGAGGCAATGTATTTTTTAGGCGAATATCAACAAGATTATCGAATGACCGGATCAAAAAAAAATCAATGATAGAAGTGCCAATTACAAAATACTATAGAATATATATAGTATAGATTTATTGATACTATAAATGCAAATATTTATATTTATTTAAGCTATAAATATTAACAATATATGTACTGTAACTGTCTTGAATTGGTCAATGAGTGTTATAGAATCGCTGGGGATTATATACTATATAACCTGGTTATGACCCCGTTATGGCATGGCTTATGGAAGCTATCATCATCTCAGAATATGCAACATATTGGCTACTAATTAAAGTGCCTGTTAAATGCCCACCAACACATTTCCCATTTGGGATTTGTGTTCCACTGAAATATACATTTGTAATGTATTCTCAGCGGCGATTTTATTGGCCGCAACTTCTTAATTTACAACAGCTGTGGTTAAACTATCATTTACTTGATGGTTAAGGCACATGAATCAAACGCTCCGAGCACCCGTCGTTTGTATGCCAAAACCATCACGTGACCATGATTTAATTTGTACATAAACACAATTACTCGATGTCGTTTGTTACAGTAACTAATATTCCCCATGTAATAGTTCTGATATTATGTGCAGGACACAAGACGGAATGATTTAATATGCAATGTTTCCACTACCCAGTGCTTTGATATCTGTGTTGCAATGATTTCCGTTCAAATACCAAATGGTAAAGCAGTATTCACTAATATCCCGTAGTAAACATTTTCACATCTAATTTATTACTATTATGAACTGTTGCTTCTTGTTTATTTGTACATAATAAAATACTAACTATAAAACATATGTTTACATATAATATGTTACAAACACATTTTGTTTGGTAAATTCAAAATTATAATACTGATAGCATTAGAACTATAGTTCTCATATTCATACAATTCATTACAAATTATGTCACAATTATTGCATTTTTTAGGTTTTGTTATAAAAGTATAACAACTTTACAGATAACAATCACATATATTTTTCAGCTCATAGTTTTCTGGCAAAGATTCTTTTGATATTAAAAAAGCAATAGGCTAGAATACCACTGTGTAATAATGCTGTTATAATTTCTCAACTACAGAACCAGGAACCTTTGAGTTTACGATGCCAAGCTACTTAGTGAAGGAAAGCATTGGTGTGTTACAGGTACCAGTCTCCAGAAACAATGGAACTGATGGAAAAGTTGTCTTGAAATGGAAAACAACTGACATGACTGCGATCTCTGGTAAAGACTATGAAGGTGGAAAAGGAGAGTTAGTATTCGAACATGGCGAGAAACAAAAGAGTATAGACATTCCGATTGTCGACGATCAAGAGTATGAAAAAGATGAGTCATTTAAACTTGAACTGCTAGAGGTTAGCGATGGAGCAAAACTTGGAAAAACCAGGACGTCTGTCATAACAATTGTGAATGATGATGGTAAGTTCTTAAACACATAATTACCGGGTACTAGAATTCATGTCGATAACATTTTTTTCGGGTGATAGTTCACCTGTCAATGCCTCTTGTATAACTACTAAGTGTCCTCTCATTAATCATTTGTTATTAACAAATAAATAAATATTAATATTATATAAATAAAAAAATAGGCAGAGCTGATATGAATGAATAGAAAGTTCACTTCCAGTTATCAAATCTTGAGGAAAGTACATCCAAACAACTCTGCGATACATAACCAATTACATTTTGTCGGGAATGTTTTCTCTGATTTGAAATCTTTAATTACGATACAAAATATCACACATAACACGTATCTTTATGTCTTAATTTGATAATCAAGTTGCTGTATATGTTGTATTGTATAATTATTACAATATTGCATATGTTTTCTTCCCTCTTATAGAGTTAAACAACCTACTTGATCGTGTAGTCTCAATAACCAATGTCAACTTGGATCGTCTCCGTATTGGTAATGCTTCGTGGGCCGATCAGTTCAAAGAAGCAATGAACGTGAATGGTGGAGATATTGAAAGTGCTACTTGGGTAGATTATGTCATGCACTTTTTAAGCTTTGGATGGAAGGTGAAACTATTTTGTTTTATTTACATGACAATTACCAATTGTTTGTCAGTCAAAAGTAATTAATATACTATGTTGGTCATAATATTGTATTATGTTTGTTCGATTGGCATTCCTTCAAATAACAAATTAAAATATTGCAATGTCAATTTATAATCCAAGAAATATGGCAGTGCGCTCATTTAATCCCATTCTGACAAATATAATACTACAAGTAAATGTCCTTAATAGTGCATCAAATGAGCGGAAACTCAATTCAGTAACTGTACATGTCTTCTGCATCGCGATTCGGTGCAAATCAAATACAAAAAACAAACATTGTAAAAATCACTCGTGTAATGTGTTAGAAACAAACCTCGTTTGTAGAACACATATATTTGACATTCATGTATGCAGCATGTGAAGCTTTGATATGGGGCTCTCTAGCCACAAGTTTATGAATTCCGGTCCCATGAGCAGCTAATATTGTTGCCACAATATTTATGGATTTTCCCTGGTATAATAAATTAGAACAGTGGTCACTAATATAACATATCTTAAATGTGATATAAACAGACAATGAAGAATTGTTTCCATTTTATACAGTCAAGCATACTTTCACTATGTATTTTAAATATATTTTTCTGTCTAGGTGATATTTGCTTTGGTTCCACCTCCGTCATTCCTTGACTCCGGTGGATGGATCTCTTTTTGTGTGGCACTCACCTTTATCGGAGTACTCACTACAATCATTGGTAGCTTGGGGTCGATATTTGGTTGTCTTATCAATATGAAGGACAGTGTGACAGGCTTGACATTTGTCACGTTAGGGACCTGCATAGTAGATCTGTGTGTCTCTAAGAAGGCCTCTGTCGGTGAGAAGTATGCTGATTGTTGCATGACAGGTAGTTATTCTGTCTATGTGTTTTTTGGTCTTGGATTGTCGTGGGTGACAGCGTCCATATATTGGACATCTAAGGTAATCATTACTTTTTTCTCAAATCTGTCATATTGATATTATCTTATATGCTCAGATTAAGATTGCATGTCCTAGCAGCATGTTAGATACAGGTAAACACGCATTAGTAATTACTATAGGTGTACTCATCAGGTTTGGGTTGTTTTTACGTTCGAAAAAAGTACGACGCTTTCCAATAAAATTTAGTTATGAAATAATGCTGAGCTGATTTGTTTATGTTTTATGAAAGCTGTGAATATTAGATAATCCGCACAAAAATAAGCCAACTTTAAGCTGTTCCATTTATATCACATAACACATATACAAGAGCTGTTCTAGCTATCCCACTTATTTATTAGTCACTCCAATTACTTACACTATTGTTCAAGTTAGATATTAGTCTAGGTCAGACAAAGTGAGTCTTACTACTGCCAGCCAGTTTACCCCCCCCCCCCCTCCCCTCGGAATTATGGTATTATACAACAGAACAATACGTACATAACACAGATTCTAAGGACCGCTGTCTAAATTTTAAAATAAACAAAGCAGAAACTAAGTAGACAAACTAATAATCGCTAGCCATGTCTCTAATCTGGTATGACACAGTGAGCGATTCACAGCCCCAGTATGACATCATACCTACAGAGTAGAATACACAAGGCCCAACACAACACAAAGTCGGAGGTGGTGGGCCAAGGCATCAAAAAGGCAAAATACCAGGCACCCTCAGAACTGACATAAATCTAAAATCATAGCTTTATGGGTGGTCCAAACACCTTTAAGATCATGGTAAATAATGCAGGGGCTCCTGAGGAGAGAAATGTTCTAAATGGGCAGCCCGGATCCCAGAATGATGATGGCTATCACACAGAACACACTGAGCCCAAATTTCCACCTAGTGTCTTCAGCTGGAAAAGTAAACCAAATATTCAGGTATTACCAATAATCCTCGGAGATGCCGTGCACCAGGTTGATGGTAGCATTATTTAATAGTAAATTGGCAGTAATAAAACCTACTTTGTCTAATTTACATAAATATCTAACTTAATTGGACTAGTTTACCTCTGTGTTTATCAATGCCATAATTCGCATAATAACTGGTCAATATACTTCCAACTGTTAGGAATATAATGTATTTAATGTAATTTGGTACAGTGGTGCTGACTCCAGATGCGAAAATAAAAGCCCAACGTTTTTTTTTTTTTGGGGGGGGGGGTGTGAGTAATCGAACAAAAATAACGTTTTGATTGAAGAGTGTTATCCACAATATAATGATATATCTATATTTGTAATAGTCTGTATTTAGAGTTTATTTAAATGATTTGGCCATTAGATTGAATATTAGATAATCCGCATTTATTTTATAACTATTTATTTTAACTATTTATCTTACAGTCGCACAAATCAGGTGTTCCTCGTCGAATTCATTTATACTAATTGATTTATTGTTTTCTATATTTGCTGCAGGGACTCGTATTTGTAGTGGATTCCAGTTCATTTTCCTTCAGTGTTATGATGTACATTATCTGTGCCATTATGTGTTTGAGTCTCTTGGTCTTACGACGCTTTACTCCATTTTTTGGAAAAGCGGAACTTGGAGGACCTACAGCAGGTCGATATTTATCTAGCATATTCTTGTTACTGTTGTGGTGTCTTTACATTCTCCTCTGCTCCTTCCAATCTTATGACTACATTGATTTCTAAGTTACTAACTGATATACATAATGCATACATTCTGTATTATGTTGTTAATGTTGCATTTTCTTCCAAATAATTTATGGGTTTTTTTAAAGCGGCAATTTGTTGAAACAATGCGGGATCAATAATTGCTGTGATAACCAGCATCGATGACACCAGATGTTAAACCAGTTGAAGTTATATTAAGTTGAACGGGATCTGAACCATCATAGAAGTCGTGTGAAATACTGCTGTAATATGTACAAGCTATGTGGTATATGGGAGCTGAATTATTGGATAGATTACGTAATTAATCATTTGTATAATTTACTCTTAAAATAGTTGTTAGTCTTGGCGTCTATTGGAATCTTCATTAACATAACTGTGTCATCTGACAATTTACATTTAGTGATATAGCCAGGACCAGTATTTGTAGGTGCATCTCTACCAGACCTAGAATACTATTTTTTTCCAGAAAAGGTCAAACCTAGATTACTGATTTGATACTATGATAACAAAAAGTTAAAGGTGTAATATAATAAAAAAATCCTTATTTTTCAAAATAAATAAACAGTACTGTTATACACGATTTAGTAAATAACACGTGGCTACTTTTAGATTTGTACAGTTATATTGTGTTTTCATTTGTTATGTGATTTATATGTGAAAAGATGTACTAAGCAGATATTTATTATTGGTGAACTATTAACCAGTTGATATGCATATCAAAATTGTTGTTAGTTACTAGTTAATGTAGACTCATTAACACATATATAATTTTGTCGATACAATAAATAATTACATACTTAGTTCAGACAATTATCTACAAAATTATCTGTTATATGATGTTGTACAATGATTCACCATTCTCAACAGGACTCCATCGACTAGATGTGGTAATTGATATCTTTGCAAATGACAATATGTTACACGACAGATTAGTATATAGGATTGTAATCACCAGTTCCATAATTTTACTGCTTTTTGTGATGAATTTAATATGCATTGTTGTTTCATATTTGTTGAATTTTATCTTCAAAAGTGTGACTTTGTAATTGTTATACCTGAACTGAATGTTTGTTTCTTCTTTGTAATTCACATAAATAATAATTCATATGTGTACATTCTAAAATCACGCATTATCATGTAAAATGGTGTTTCCATCATTGATTTCAAATGAACATAAATTTGTCATCTTGTGGCGTAAGTTCGTCGTCTCACCCAACAGTATAGACTAGGTATTCATCTTGTATCCATTTGTTCATATTAAAATAAATAAAAGTGTTATTGATTGTTTTCCAAATTTATGTAGTGAAAGGATGGTCAGACATAACATGCCTGCTATATGTTGATCATAATGCCCACACAAGTGAATATTTGTAATACCGACTTTCAGCTTTCATTCAAATTCAAATATGTAATTGTGATTGGCTCAAGAACTCATCATTGTCTTCATCCTCACTATGATTGGACGCTTTCATTTATATACGCCTGTGACGTGGTATCTGTGACCGCCCGTCCATTGAACTAACTCATAATATTAATTTACACTAACTATGACGTCACAACGCCATTAGTTTATTTGGCAATTAGAGTTACGTCGTCCATTCCATTTAGTCGCCCACTGCATTTGGTATTCAGCTAATTTGTAATGGATTTATTGAAAGTAGTTATGCTAATGCACACTTTACGGATACAGCCATTACACAGAAAAACAGATGATACGACGCTGATGCGAATTGTTTAATTCTTGTGTTATGTTTTGACAAACGATCTTGCTCAGAAGTAACGAAAATTTTGAGATGTGTATGATACCAGAGGTACATTACCTCTGATGATACTAAGATTACCAAGCATAAACATGTCTAATTCTGAATTACGATGACTGATTAAATAATGATGATTTCAAAGATTGTTAAACTTTAAAATTTGGTGACCGTTGCTGTATTGAACAGCGCTTTCGGTGATAATTATATAGTACTAGTACGAGCCACGCGAGTCCAGTGAACAGTAACTTCAACGAGACGTTAAAGCGCCCTCAATGACACCCAGTGGGGTTTCTGCATCAATGACATATTGCCATCGATTACAAATACATAAACGTCTCAGGTATTTTTACCTTTCTTTAGGAAAATATTTGTAAATTCCCAAAATACTGAAACATGACTTAACACTACGAACCTATAAAAACAGAAACACACGAAAATACATTTATGCCGCCAGAGGGCGTTATTGTAGCAGTACTTAATAAAATGCAAGGGATTGGAACTGTTTCATTGTAAAACACAAGTCTGGTATTAAACTCTCTGAATCACCCAGAATCGGACATTATAATGACGTGAATCTATAATCATATCTTGCATGTTGCATGTTTAGATCGATGTCATGAACACATACCTTATTCGCCGGCATATCTCCATTCATTTTGTACATCAATTTTCTCTGACCTAAGTCTGATGACCCCTCTCTCCATTTTTGTATTTCATTTTCTTCATCCTCATATTAACATAAATTGTCACATGCACTTATATGTAAAAATTGAGAAAGTGACTGCATTAAAGTGACGAGAGTTACACCAATTCTTGTGTGGCAGTGTTAGGAAATCTATCAGCTAAACAGAGTACAATATGGGGTTTCCTTCTAATTATTGTATTATTATCATCAGCAATACATATGCAATAATGTTTTTAGAATCAAGTCAATAGCTCAATATTCCACAGGTACACAACTACCAATCTAGCCATTTTAATGCAAGTATTAACCTATGAAGTTGGGTACACTACTGCGAAACGCATTGAAATAGCTGAATACAATTTGAACAAATTTGACTCAATGCATGAACAACAAAATAATTAATTAGCAAAAGTGTCAACTATCTCCTGGGAGAATATACTTTGTTAAATTAGCTGCATCTTCAATTAGCGAAATTAAATATTAGCTAAATTAGGTGATATAACATGCTTGCTAAAAATTCAGACAAGTTTTACAGTATGTTGGGATGGGAGAGGCCTGATTACTAACAGATTCAGAGTTTGAATTTAATGCATGTGCCTGGATTTGGGAGAGGTAAAAATCCTACCAGGTTGTGATTCTCAAAATGTTAATTTCCATGTTCAAGTACTTTCCAAATGAATTACAATATCGACAAGCATTAACAATGCTAAGTCCGCATTCTATATTTAATGCAAAAAAGCAAAATTTGACATTGCTTGCATTTTATGTGCAAAGATCAGACTACAAATAGAACTATATTGTGGATCGTTCCTGAAGTTGAATTCGGCACTCGAGGGGCTAAGTATTAGAATTTGGCAATTTTGAAGACCAAAATGGCCGCCATACTTGATCAAATGGTAATGAAAATCATGAATGTCATCGTGCATGGTCTGTGTGTTAAGTTTGAATGTAATTGGTCAAGACATGTCTGAGAAATACACCGATACACAGATAAACCCATGGAATCCTAATTAATAGTCTCTGATTTTGGACTTCTGACAATGGCTTTAAGCAATAGCTTCTATAAAACAATTAAGCTTTATAGCACAAAGAAACAGCAACACATATGTAGGGGTAAGAATTTATTAAACTAAGAGTGCTTATAAAATACTTACATTAAAAGATTATACATTCTGTACATGTATGTACAGTGATAGAAGTCTCAATTAGAACACAACTTAAAAAAGAAAATATCAATTTTGTGAGATATAATTAAATATGCAATATGGATGAGAAAAGATATAATTAGTAATGTTGTTAAATACTGAATGTTGATGAACATGTTGGATTATGATTAATTATGAACATTGTATCTACAACACACAACTTATTCAATGAAAAACTTTTAATACACATGTGTGTTGATTTTTTTTTATATGTACAGTCATTAGCACATGTGCACATTAGTGATATTTTGTTTTGTCTGAGCAACTATTGAGTGTTCTGCAAAAACTTTTTAGTTTTTCAGTATGCGATGTTCATGAACATGCAGTATCATACTGACACATTCTCGTCCATAATGCATATTTTATTTCATATACTTAAGTCATATAACCTGAGTATTGTTAGATGAAAAACATGAAATTTGGACATTTAGCTGGTTGCTTCCATTTAACCTGATAACAATTGAAACCAGACTGCTGAACGTCTTTGGGTATCCAGTCAAATTCCACACAAAATTTTGAGCCATCAATCAAAGATGGTTAGAGAGGAGAGGCGGTATATTGAGGTTGAATTAACTTCTTGCAATTGCAATTCAATTGAATAATAGCATTACAATTGTTTCTTATTAAGTCAGTGTGAAATACAATTTAAAAATAACTTGTTTCAGTTACTAGCATGCAGCACAAGTGTAAGTTCATTTTGGCACTTTCAGATACAAAGTCTGGAATCATAAACAATTCATATTCAACTTAAGTAGAGAATGGTTAAGTTTTCAATATACATCAAGGTACAGTGCTGAACAAAATAAAATAGTGTTGTGAATTCAAGTACTGTCAGCAGTGACAGACTGTGGTAGATGCTACAGTTAATACCACTACCTTATCTGTATAGATAAATTAGACAGCATACTTCACAACTCCAGATAGTTATTTTTATTCACATTTATTGTCGATAATTTTTTTTTAGTTTTTATTTGAGGTTTAGACTGAATTGAAAAATAATTATCATTTTCTTCATACATTAAACAATTCGGTTGCATTCTATTAGGATACAGGGTCAGTGGTCTGAACTTCCTTGGCAAAAGTGTCATTTCACATTGGTTTAACATTGGTTTCTTTGGTGATAGTAATAACAAATTTGCTCTGTGATATTGACTGAAAACTAATTGATATTAATCTGAATTAGTAAAGTTTTCTAAATTTATTCCATTTAATGTATTTGAGTTGCCATCAATATAGTAATTTTCCATAACCAATGGGAATTTTTCTCCCATGATGCATTTCATCAAATTTTAAACTTGAATTTGGTTCAGAATATTGAATTTTCATTTAGATCAAATGTATCTCAGAAATGGCAACAAAAAATATGAGAAAAAAACAGGGATATTTATTCGATAGAATCTGTAAATATAAATAAAATTCACTCATCATCAACTGATATATTAGGATAAAATTTCTGAATTTGTATAAAATAGTTAATTTTATCTATTATTTAGTAATATCAGGTCACATAATATCTTATCATGAATAAAATTAACACTTCTTGAATATTGGGACAATTCCTGAGTGAAGAGGAACTACCACAGATGTAGAAATTCCTAAAAACTCTCACAAAACCCAAGAAATGTGTTTTTCAATAAATATTTAAAACCTTTTATATCTAGTGGTAGTGTTACATCATACAGTAAATGTGCTCAGGTTAAAAAAGAGAAATCTGTGGTATAAACTAAAACTTTACCCTATGTTTGTTTCTCTATTATTAGTACACAATTGTATATATCAATACAAGAATCAACAAGGACAAATCAATCCCCTAAATTCTTCAGAAAAAAAAAATGTGCTCTGAATTTTGATATCCTTGCTGAACAAATTATCAAAGTTTAACAAGAAATGGCAAAAATTCAATCTATAAATTTTAACTTTTAAGAATCAAAATTATTTACATTTGTTTATAATCTTGCGATACTCTCTTTTTGTATTTTATATTCCTTTTCTAATGTTATCATCTTAAACTTAAACTTGAAGACTTAAACTAATGCATATGTATTAATTACAAATGTAATTAAAAGTGTAAAGCTAATTAAAAATATGAAGTGGAAAACCCGAAATCATGATAGTAAAAGCAGAATCCCAATTCATGTACCTTAAAATGGTTATTCCACTTGATATAAGGGTGAACAGATCGATGCCAGGGATCAATTATAACGAGCTGCCAGCCGCAACAATACAGTGAAAAAAAGCAATATGCAATTTTGTTTAGGAATGGTTCCCACAACAAGTCCAGATGCAATCAATGACCGTCTTTATGGTCAGCTATTGTACATATAACGAGAAGATATATACAGTATTTTCTCTAATAGAACCACAACTACAATTGCAGAACAAATTGAGAGAATTCAACATTTCACTACAGATTACCCCTCTTTCACCATCAATACCAATTTCAGTTTAACATTTTCAATAATTGTAATTTTTTTAAATTTCAATGAAAGTTGAAACAAAAGAAGTTGATACTACAAATCAAATTAAGAATAAAATGTTTTGGTTCAAAGTTTGGCTGGAAATCAACGAACTATTTTGTTAGATGTGACAACATAGTTTGGATGAATTCGAATAGAGGAAATTTGATAGAATATTGTGACAATGATTTTCTTATTACATAATAAAATATTGCAACCCCATTATAGGCTTGATTAAAAGAAATACGGCTAACAAAAACTATGCTACATGTAAGAACAAAACTGTACTTCCAGCATAAATAAAAAACAATAAATAGCATGATAATTCTGTAATACTTTTCTTTTAAATAGTTAAACAATTGCATCTTATCACATGATCATGGTGCATATCATTTACTGTAATAATGTGTAGTGTGAAATAACTAGCCAATCATTCCATGTGTGTTCAAACAGCACATGGAGAAAAACCAATCATGTGACAGTACTATATTCATCACAGCAATGTGAGCATGTCAGATTGAATAACTATAATGCAATAACAACAAGTCATTGAAAATGACACAGTCCCCGTTAAGTTCTCTTTGTGCTCGTCATATTAAAGCGAAGGGGTTGTCGCGAGCATGTCCTTGAAACTTGAGTTCCAAGTGGCGTATACAACAGATTGTTTATTTAAATCAAAACACGTGTTTCGTGTCATAGTAATATGGCCAAAATAAAAACAGCCGTTATTCAGCCATCTTTGATCTGATCATGAAACACACTGATATGTATGATGTATGTGCCAAATACAAATGAAAATGGTACATAAATTGTGGAAATATAGTAGTAAGGCCAAAAAGTCAGATGGCTGTCAATTGGCCATCCTTTGAAACAAATTGTCATGGACATGCATCCTAACATGTATAAAGTACATGTATGTGCCAAATTTGAATGAAAACTGACAGAGCACGTCCAAGATACCGCATAAAAAAACAAAAACAAGATGCCTGCCAGTCGACCATCTTTGATCCCATTGCGAAATAAATCGTCATGGACATGTATCCTAACATGTATAATCTATGTACCAAGTTTGAATGACAACTGACAAAGCATGTCCAAAAAACAACATTTCAAAAAACAAATGGCTGCCAGTCGGCTATCTTTGATCCAATTGTGAAATAAATCATCATGGACATGTATCCTAACATGTATAATCTATGTACCAAGTTTGAATGAAAACTGACAAAGCATGTCCAAAATACAACATTTTG